TCCTTAATAAAATATAATTAGAGCGAGCCCATATGTTCGATATGAGCCATTTGATGAAGCTGAACTTGCTGACTAGGGCCAGGGCTGTACCACGTTAATTTGTACTGCACTAATTACTGTTGTAATAAATAAATAAAATCAGCCCTTCTGGGCGTAACACTGAAGTCATTAGGTGAGTTAGCAATGCTCTTCATGATAATGCAGTGTAGGAATTAAAAGACTGGCTTTGCAATGTTGAGGGGATGATTTTCAAGTGACTTCAGTACAGGTAATATTCCTCCCACCCACCCCAACTCTGTGATGTGACAGAAAGTTTCTAAACTCAGGACCAAATGTGACTTTCTTCAATTTACACTGAATCAGAGTTGCCTGTTTAGTAAATGTATTAGTGATTACCACTGTCTTGTAAATATTATATCAATGAAGTAATGCTAATAGTGTTATAGATTGGGGGGACACCTCCCCAACCCTAGAAATTAATGAATGCTAGAATTTGGGATGTAAAGGGAGAAATACAAGTTGCAGAGGCATTCCTGGGCTAGCTTATGCAAAATGACCTGGCCAAGCAAGGGCCATTAAGAAACAATACAGGGCCACTGAGAGCCATTGGCAATGCAAGAGAACTGTCCTCCCCTTTTGCCCTGAGGTGTGAACAGAGACTGGTGGTTTGGAAGGTTGCCAGGGCAACTGGGTGTGAGGTGACAGGAAAAGAAAGCTTTTAGCAAGGTATTCTGGGAAGGAGAAGGAAAAAGAAGGACTGGGATCCATCTTGGGCAGGCTGGCTGAGAGGGATGCCTTGGACTCCACTGCTGTGAGGGACAAGCCACTCTTGAAATGACCGTGCCGTAAGATCTGTACTCCCCCATGCAGACTGATGGTGTAAATAGGTGAATAAACCATATTTCTTAAAGCTTCGACAGTCTCTGCCGTGTCTCAGTTGTCCAAAAGAACACAGAGCCTGGGGGAACGCCTGGAACCCCCAGGAATCTTGCAGAGATTGAGGGTGGCACACAACTTTTGTGACAATGCTCTCATCCAATACTCACAGTCCACACACCCACACCCCCCATGAACTGTGTGGACATCCAAACAAACAAAGGTACAGATTCCGCCCATTTTCAGACATACACAAGTGAAGACTGAAAAAGATGTTTACCTCAGGAAAGGACAAAATAGTGTATGAAACACGAGATGTCTATAAAGTGGGGGTGAGGAACCTGTGCCCCTTCAAATGCTTTTGGACTCCAGCTCCTATCAGCCCCCGCCAGCATGAGCAATGATCAGGGATGCTGGGAGTTGTAGTCCAGCAACATCCGGACGGCCACAGGTTCCTCACTTCTGCTGTAAAGACTGCCCTGTATGCTCCCTACCCATACCAGCAGTAGTCGATGATGTATAGCAATGGTGGGAAAACAATATACATTGCAATGATGCTAAGAGAATGATGGTGGTAATGTTGGTAAGTTGAATGAGATGCTGTTGGGCTGGTTGAATGCAGTGGAATGGTGAGAGGGACCAGCTGGGGAACCCCCAAAGGAAGAAGGCCCAGAGCCCAAGGAATGGTGGTGGTGGGACAACCATGAGTGGTCAGAGGCAGAAGACCAGGGAAAAGAGAAGACCAAGAAGAGGAGGTGTCAGAAGCTGAAGGAGCAACAGGGCTTAATGAGCTGGGAGAGTCTGTGACAGACAGAAGTTCAGAATAAGAGGCAGAGGCTGAAGCAGGAGAGGAGGTCAAGAGGCAGAGGTGAGTGAGACTGGTCAAGAGTCGCAGGTGTCCCCCCTCCTTCTGTGACAAGCTTGTCTCCCAGAACCAGAAGAGGAATGTAAAGGGCGGAGGAGAGATTGACAATATGCAGACACAGTCTCTGATTGCTTGGGGGAAATACCCTGGAGAGGTGGGACTTAGATAGCTGTGAGAAGGCAGGGACTTTCAGTCTCAGCAACTGCCTCATGGGAGTAAGACCTACTAAAGATGAGTTGCTGTGCTCTTTAGGCCTGACACTCCTGTGCAGATCTTGTTTTTGCTAATTCACTCTTTATTAATTAACTCCTGACAGATGCTATGAGAGGGAGGTGGGATACAATATGAACCTGTTGTTTTCAGTGTGGACACGTACCATCTGATTGTTAGGGATTTGCAGCATTCACAAATGAATGTTTACTGTCATTGAATTTTGAACACTGTGTTTGTCCACATCATAGTCCACTGGCCTGGTGGAATGCTCTGCCAAAAAAGACCAGGGCCCTGTGGAATTTGACATCTTTCCACAGGAGCCTGCAAGAAGGAGGCCTTTGGTTGGGGTTCAGTCTGACTCCTCCTTCCCTTTTATAAGAACGTGTATGACAAGTGGCCTCCCAGCTTTTGTAAGGGCCTCAATCTGACTAGATTTTACTCTTATTCTGATACGATTTTAGGATATATTTTAATTTGATTTCCTGATTTTATCATGTTGTGTTATATATTTGATGTTAGCTGCTCTGAGCCCAGTTTTGGCCAGGGAGGGCAGGGTATAAAATTATTATTATTATTATTATTATTATTATTATTATTATTATTATTATGTTTGCAGCAGCATTTGCAGAGGGCACTGTTTGCTGTTCCTATAGCATCATTGCTCTACAACCAGCAAATCTACTTAAGCTTCCTGCTTCATAAGTGGAAAGAACATTATCATAAAGAGATTAACTTTTGCTTAGAAACACTGAAAAGGGGACTCATTCTTCTCAGTTGTGAAAAAAATCTCCCCAAAATGAAAAATTGGAAACACTGTACAGTCATACCTCAGAAGTTGAACAGAATCCATTCTGGAAGTCCGTTCAACTTCCGAAACGTTCGACTTCCAAAGCGTGGCATCTGATTGGCTGCAGGAAGTTCTCAGTAGTGGCACCCTCCCTGTGGAATGCCCTTCCACCAGATGTCAAAGAGAACAACAACTACCAGACTTTTAGAAGACATCTGAAGGCAGCCCTGTTTAGGAAAGCTTTTAATGTTTAATGTATTACAGTATTTTAATATTTTTTTGGAAGCCGCCCAAAGTGCCTGGGGAAGCCCAGCAAGATGGGCGGGGTATAAAAAAAATTATTATTATTATTATTATTATTATTATTATTATTAGCCTCAAAAGCCCCTTCGAACGTTCGGCTTCCAGAAGAACGTTCGAAAACTGGAACACTCACTTTCGGTTTTCGATTGTTCGGGAGCCTGAACATTCAACTCCAAAGGCATTCAGGAGCTGAGGTATGCCTGTATATGTAATGTTCCTACTCAATGTAAATGATTTCAAGAACGTTTCAGAAACATTGAAACCTTGCAAAAAAGCATTGTGGGTATTGGAGAATCACTGGAAGCAGGAGCCATCCGTACTCCAGAGACCAAGAAGTAGTCAATGCGCAGAACGCACAATCAGAGTGATGTGGGAACTTTATGGTGCTTGCAACAGAAACAAAGATGAACCTCAATTTATTCTAAACAATAATAAGTGTTGCACAATGTACCAAACATTGTACAAGTATTAGAAAATGTGGAAGCTGTATTTTTTCTGTATTATGACACATAATTATAATTATTATTTATAATTGCATAATACATTATACATATACAAAAATCTATTTATTGATTTCGGGGTGACCTTTTCCCCAGAAGATTTGGAAATGACAGTTCATTCATTTGTTTTTAGGCAAAAGTTCACATAACTAAGCTATAGGAACATGAGGTTGTAAAAAAGTTATAATCCTAGTACACATATTCAGCTGTTGGGTGGCAATGACAATCAAGATTGGAATGCAGAATGAGTTGTTTCTCAGAGCAAGTCATTCACGCTCCCCACTTCCCAATTAAGAGCAAATTGCAGACTGAGGTATTTATTTATTTTATTTACGTTAAACATTCACAAGCTGCTTTTTTAGATGTGCGACCTCCCAAATCAGTTTACAAAAAAAGAAAAGAAGACAATACAGATGCAGAATGGATAAACATTAATACAATGAAACAGAAGAAAACATCAAGAAAATAGCTTCTTCTTTTCTAAGGGGAATCCCCTCAACATCCTAAAAATAGGGCTGACATATCCGGGATTTGCGTATCAGAATAGCATCCAGGCAGAATTGAAAATTGCAAAAATGTCCGAGAAAACAACTTTGGCCAAAAAGAAAGAAAGAAAGGAAGGAAGAAAGGAAGGAAGGGGGGAAAGCTCAACAAGTGTGCCAAAAAAATCTCAGCAACTTTTGTGTCCAGATTTTCACTTTTTGAAACTACCAAAAAGAACTTTAGAAATTTCAGTATTGAAAGTTTATCTCTGATAATCAGGCAAATTGAATTACTTAAAAGACCTAACAGGCTGGGTCAGGGCATGTTTTGATTGTTTGGGATGGTATTAGACTGGGAAAAGGGGTCGTCCCCCCCGGTCCCTTTTCTCAGAGCACTATTTTTACAATTTCATGTCTTAACAATAAATCCCACCATGAATGTCCAGTACAAATGGCCATTGAGTGAATACAGATGAGAATTTTGCCAGACAGCTGTACCTAAGAAGTTGTTGAAATTCTCCTTTCTTCTTGGCAGGATAGTAAAGAGACTGGACACAGACAGCAGTTTTGCCCTGCATTTTTACCACACATTTGCACCTAATCTGTGTATGGGGACGGCAGTTACCTTACCACTTGCAGAATGATACAGATAACCAGGTTTAGTAACTCCGTCCTGTGGTAATTTGATCACCTATCTGGGTCTCAGGCAGCCATCTTGTGAAGTGATTACATGCACCCTGAAAGAAGCTGCCCTATGTTATTCCATATGAACCCTATCTATCATCCTGCTAAGTGGTAAGGATTATTTTACCACATGCCAGGTTAAGATGTGGAAAAAAAGAGGTTATCTGGATCCAGCCTCTGTTGTCCCATTGTGCAGGGGAAAACACATAAACTGTTGGTTAATTTAGAACAGACTTCCAGTTCAATAAACTTATTTAATGTATTTCCTTCCCATAAAGGCTGCTTCTTCTCTACTCTCTTAGGATGGTAACTAGGGCTTCTAGAACAGCTTGCAGATTTGACATGCTTGTACACACTTTGTCACAACATTCTTTAAAAATACCAAAAGATTCCTTGAACGCCTGCACATTGTCGTCTGCATGTTTCACTGTGCGTCTGAACTCAGACAACAGGGCGCTAATATTATCACTGGCTGCATGGGAAGATGTGTGGAGACCTGCTTCTGCGGCTGCCATGTTTTCATTGACAGGTTCTTCCAGGTTTTCACGTGAAGTAGATGGATTCCGGGATACTTTTCCTTTTGGAGATGACTGTTCTTGAACTAGATATTCAGCCTCTTCCATTCCCTGGAGATGTTTCCTCCAAGGAATGAAGTAAGAGGGAGAAACTTCCTCAGAATCAAGCTCGCCAGTGGTTTCTGCCACTGACAACTCCAGTTTGCCATCTGCTCGTCTCTCATCTTCTCCAGGTGAGGAGGCTCCTTCCTCAGCTTCACAACCAGCCTCCCTCGCAGCGGTCCGAGCTGCAAACAACGAAAGTTTAATGTGCAGTTAAATTGAAGAATATACAGCACTGACTTGCCCTGTTTGGGTGAACACCCACCACAGATTTATGGTCATTGTACTTGCCGCCCATGCTTTCCAGTTGTTCGGTGGAAGGTCTAAAAGGGGGAACTTCTTTATATGCCTCGACTCACCATGTGATTTCATACCCTGCATGATAAAGGTTCTAAATCAGATATAGAGACTACACTTATTGGGCAGGCTACTCTTTTCCAACTTTCCCCCAACACAAGGTCGGTGTAGAGCAGGACTGGCAAGGATGTGATGGTAGAGTCAGGATCAACAAGTATAGACTTTTTCTTCCCTTATACAACTGCAATTATCTGATACACAAATCCATGATGATGATAAATAAATAAGGGGTGTGTGTGTGTCAAATTTTGTCCTCAGGACTCCATATTACCCAAATCTACTCCTGCCATCTCCATTTCATCCCCCCAGGCTGAGAGTCGGTGACTGGCCCAAGGTCACCCAGTGAGCTACACGGCTGAGTGGAGTTTCAAACCCTGTTCTCCCATGTTCTTACCTCAACATTTTAACCACCACATTACACTGGCACCACACCAGATAGGGCCAATGTCTGCTACATATCATTACTTTTAACTTAACTTTATCTTCCCCAATGTAAATGCTGCTACTACTACAAAAAGAAGAATAAATACCCTCTGAAGAACATCTTGTTCCACCCTATCTTCCCTTCTAGGTCTTCGTTATTACATTATTACCTCCTGGGTTTTTATTTACTTCGGGGTATGCTAAGGTAGATAAGCAATGACAAACCTAGACAGCATCTTAATAAGCAGAGACATCACCTTGCCAACAAAGGTCTGTATAGTTAAAGTTATGGTTTTCCCAGTAGTGATGTGTGGAAGTGAGAGCTGGACCATAAAGAAGGCTGATCGCCAAAGAATTGATGCTTTTGAATTACGGTGCTGGAGTAGACTCTTGAGAGTCCCATGGACTGCAAGAAGATCAAACCTATCCATTCTGAAGGAATTCAGCCCTGAGTGCTAACTGGAAGGACAGATCCTGAAGCTGAGACTCCAATACTTTGGCCACCTCATGAGAAGAGAAGACTCCCTGGAAAAGACCCTGATGTTGTGAAAGATGGAGGGCACAAGGAGAAGGTGACGACAGAGGATGAGATGGTTGGATAGTGTCTCGAAGCTACCAGCATGAGTTTGACTAAACTGCGGGAAGCAGTGGAAGACAGAAGTGCCTGGTGTGCTCTAGTCCATGGGGCCATGAAGAGTCGGACACAACTAAACGACTAAACAACAACAACAATGCTAAGGTTACCAAAAAAATTTTCAATGAATCCGGGGACACTTTTCAACTTCAATGGATTTTGTATGGGGACTGGTTTGTAAATCCAGGGAATGTCCCCAGGAAACGGGGACGTCTGGTAACCTTAGGGTATGCACACTCCTCACCTACAGAAACAGGGCTAGGGCCAGCACAAGACATTGTTGAGTTTGAGGCGGGCAAAAGGCCTACAGTCAATGCCGCCATCTCCTTTTCTTCTCCCTGCCTGCCTTTTGGAATCATTCTGTTCTCACAGTCGTGACAATCACAGGCTTTCTGGGGCCATTTTGACTCTCAGTGTACTTCTAGGTCTCAGTGTGCTTGTATGCGTCAGTGACCCTCAATGTACCTCTAGGTTAAAGCAACTGTGAGCTGCTATTTGTCGCCATTGTAGCAGAACCTCAGCAGAGCAGGTATTCTCTGGGAGGCACCTTATCCAGCCAATTCTCTGCCACTTGCCCAAACCCTTTCAATAGATAACAAACTTCTCCTTGGGTTGTTTTCTCTATTTGTCCTACACGCTTCCCCACAATATAGCAAGGGCTGAATTGTCTTGATTTTTGTGTTCTACCTTTTCACTACCTGCGTTTTAAGCTTTAAAAGCGAAGCCCATCATAGGCAACAGCTTAACAGCATTTGGGATAAGATTTCTGACTTAAGAAATGCAGTATTAGCATAGAAGTAAACTGCTAGCATTTGTTTATCTCTAGTGACTTTAGAAATGCAATACTAGTGTGTATTAAACTGCTTTGAGGGGGTTTTCTACAATCAAGCAGTATATAAATTTTATGAAATAAGATATGTTTCTCTAAAGGAATTATGAAGAAGAGCCACTCAGTTCATTAAAAAAAACCAAAAACCCCTACACACCATTTGAAAAATTTGAAAGGTCTATGCTTAGTTTGCTTCCGAAATGGTCAATTTTTGTTGCTGTTTCAGAGTCACTTCCGGTTCCTGATCTTGCATGTTCTTTAGCTTTGCTGAGATGATGAAGCACCTAAAAGATAAAAAAAAATGTTAATGCATTAATTAATCCTATATAAAAAATTCCCTAGTTTCTTGTCTTTTTATATTAAGCTAGGAACACGTTCACATATACATGTATATCCCTTAACTACTGTGCACTTGATAATGAGCAACTGCATTTGTGAACTGCAGGGTTAGTTCCAGGCTATACAGGCTGATAGACCCCTTCCTGCAGTGGACCAGTCCCATTCACCTGTTGGCATCCTCTGTTTTGCAGATTTACTGCATGGTTTATTTGGAGCACAGATGGCAGGGACGACTATATTCATATAATTAAAGACCTACTGCTACTGCTAAAGCAATACAGCACCCCCAGAACATTGTCAAAGTTGCAGTACCATACGTACGCTAATGAATGGAAATAAAACTGCAGTTGCAGCATGATAATAAACTTGGAGGACATAGCAGTCAGCTTCTGCGACTAGAGATGTCTGGTCATAAACATTTTGCAGATTTAAAGCAAAATGGCTTCCCAACAGACTCCCCATCCCTGGGATTTCTTAACTCTGTCACTGCCAGGCAAGAGTCCCCTATAAAGTATTCTGAGTTTCCTCAGAGGAAAGCAGGGTAAGTATAATAGAAGCCTGAACTTCTCTTTTAATTCCTGCTTGGATAGCTTGGCATTTATTTTTCTTATTCATTTTATAGTTGTACTATGTTCTACCATTTTGAAAGTGTCTCTTTAGTGCTTTCTTTAATATTTTATATCATTTTATGTAAAGCACTTGGAGATTTCTTTTGATTAAGTGGTATATAAATCTAAATCTTAATGTGATTAAATGAACAAGAGAGCAAGTAGACCTGAATACTGGGTAAAAGTGGGCCAAAGCTTGGCAGCAAGCTCCATCCTAAAAATGATTTCTAGTAGAAAATGTGGGAACGAGTTATTGGAGAGCCACTGTAAATTGGATGCAGCAGCTAGACTGGTGGCTGGGGGCGGCCGCCAAGACCATATAACACTGGTCCTGAAAACCCTACACTGGCTCCCGGAACATTTCCAAGCACAATTCAAAGTGTTGGTGCTGACCTTTAAAGCCCTAAGCAGCCTCAGCCCAGTATACCCAAAGGAGCGTCTCCACTCTTTCAGCCCAGACACTGATGTCTAGCTACGAGGGCCTTCTGGTGGTTCCCTCCCTGCGAAGTGAGGTTGCAGGGAACCAGGCAGAGGGCCTTCTCAGTAGTCGTGCCCACCCTGTGGAATGCCCTCCCATCAGATGTCAAAGCAATAAACAACTATGACTTTTAGAAGACATCTGAAGGCAACCCTATTTAGATAAGTTTTTTATGTTTGAAATTTTATTCTGTTTTTAGTATTCTGTTGGGAGCCACCCAGAGTGACTGGGGAAACCCAGCAAGATGGGCGGGGTATAAATATATCATCATCATTATCTCTAGACTAGATGGACCAAAATAACAGGCAGCTTCATCCACTCACGTGAGGAAACCAGGGTCCAAATCTCTGCATGGGTATGAAATTCATAAGGTGACTTCGGGAACTCATGTCCTCTCGGTTTCTCTTACTGGCTTCTCATGATGTTAGAGAAAGACTGGGAAATAAATATGCACCCTACCTTTTCAATTTCAGCTTTAGTGTCATGCCGTGATCCGTAAAGCAGCAGGTGAAGGGCAGTGGAGAGATTAACTGGAGAAAACAGGATATTTCCACATGGGTGTTCTTTTCTCAGCAGATGGAAGAAGTCAGTGGCAAACTTAGCATTTGCTTCACTGAGGGAAGTCATTGCAAAATGCTTCAGCCCTGGGAAAAAAATTGAATTCTCCAAGTCTAGTTTTTCAGCCTCCTCCTTTCAGAGTATGTCAAGCAAAAGGTATGGTTTGTTTTCTCACAAACTGCATCTGTATATGATGAACTAAGCATTTGTATTCTCATATCACAGAATGAACAATAAACACAAAATAGCTGTCAAACTTCCAGTTGAAGGGAGGGAAATCTCTGTGTAATTTCCACTAGGGCTGAGCTGAAACGGGAGGTGCTTTTCATGAACAATTTTAACAGTGTCCATGTAACATCTTGACATTAGCCCTTAAATACATAGTTTCTAACTGACTGAGTTAAACCCATATAATTAACTGAAAAAGAAAAAAATGTAGTAATTGGAATAAAAATTGGTGCAAAGGCTGAGGGGGAAACTATGCTCATGAACAGGATTGTTTTTAAAAAGAAAAGGTGCGTATTCTTACAATTAGGGACTCACTTTCCCCCCAAAAGCCATTACTTCAACTTGAAACTCAAAATGGGTAGCTGTAATTCCTGTAAAAAATGCTAGCTAATCTCATCATTATAAAGTAGCAATAGAGGACCTGTGGCCCTCCAGAGAGCAAAACTGCATACACTAGGGTAAAGCCAGTGTGGTGTAGTGGTTAAGAGCGATAGACTTGTAACCTGGGGAACCGGGTTCGCGTCTCTGCTCCTCCACATGCAGCTGCTGGGTGACCTTGGGCTAGTCACACTTCTCTGAAGTCTCTCAGCCCCACTCACCTCACATTGTGTTTGTTGTGAGGGAGGAAGGGAAAGGAGAATGTTAGCCGCTTTGAGACTCCCTAGTGTAGTGATAAAGCGGGATGTCAAATCCAAACTGTTCTTCAAATCCAAACTCTTCTTCCATATTGTTGGATTACATACAACAACAACAACAACAACAACAACAACAACAACACCTCATGGGCCACAGGTTCCCCATCCCAGAAGTGGATTTAGGCTAGCACAACTGGTTTGCCCGCACTGGGCACCTAGCTGAGAGGGCGCTACAGGGGATGCTGCAACAATGAGGAACAACGGAAGGCAAGAGGCAGGGGGCATGAACTTTTATGTCGGACAGAGCGCTGCTGAAATTTTTAACCCCAAAGTCCACGACTGCCCATCCCTGCTCTAAAGGAAGAAAACAAAACCATTTTGCCAGCTTGATTGATATACCTTACTCTGAAGTATACAAGAAATACACTGCATTTGGGGTATTTATTCTTGAATGTATCCCAAAGCAGACCCTTTTATTGTATCCAAAAGTGGAACCACATAACCAATAGATTGGTTATGATCTATTTCCCCACCCAATATGTGTTTTAAATTTATTATGTTTTATATCCCACCATCATGGAACACAATGTGGCATACATGTGGATCCTCGGAGGTCTCCCATCCAAACACTGACCAGACCTAGACTTGCTTAGCTTTAGCAAAAGTCTTAGCTTCATTTGCCTTCAGACTGTACCTAAATGCCCAGTGTATAGCTTGCAATCTGCCTTGTACCTTGAGCTGTTAATTCAATGATGCCTGCCAAACTGCATCCCTGCTCAAGATTTTAATATACTGCAAATTTCTGGCTGCAACTACACTACTTTGCTCTCCCCATCCCACCTCTTATTTTGTTCAACGTTCTGCCTCATGGGAAGTTCTGGAGCACTTGATTCATTACTCTGTTGTAGATTTCGGATTCCCCACCTTTATTAATGGAACAACATGGCTGGTTTTGCTTTCCATGAGTAAACAGTTTTTAATAGTAACTTTGAAAATCTTATTTAAACTCATTTCATTTGCATACTGGAAGGAAAAGCCACTGTTGACTAATTTGGGGGGACAATAATAATGGTAAGCAAGAGTGGTCAGAAAAGCCCAGCATAAAATAAGTAGCAACTTTGCTGGTACCAAACAAAATTCAAACATTCCTTAATATCAGTTGCTGTATCCCATCATGATCCACAACAGACCAAGCCCAGGAAGGCTAAACATGGAACACCACTGTCCACAGATTGTGGCTTAGCAACCAATACACAAACAATTTGCTTGCTCCAGAGCTCTCCAGCTAAGATCAATAGGACAACTCTGGAATAAGCAGCTCCACAGTTGCAAATGAAGTCTCCAAGCCCAAATTTAATGTTGACTCCCGATCTCACTCAATCTTCAAACAAGGAGCAGCTTGACTGGTGCCACCTGTTGCATATTGGCACATTATTCCCTGTTTCTCCAAAGCCCATTTCTTTCTTTCCAATGGTACCAGCAAAATCTTACGGTAATTCACAAGAACAGAAGCATTTACCTTCTCTTCCAAGAGGTAGCTTGTTGCATCTGGTGCTTTTGTTTTAGAATGTACCAGGCTATATAGAAAGCTCTGTACACCCCCACTGTCATTATTCCAGTTTGCATTTAGACCGAGTAGCTAGTGATTTGATTTGTAATTTGCATAATGAAAACTACCAAGAGTATTATGCATTGAGGATATGCTCAGTAATCACACATAAGCATCTGTTGTCTTGCATAAAATATAGATGGGATGATATCCAATTAATGAAGGCATCCACTCACAGAACAGGAGGGGAGGGGAGTTTGGGAAGAGCTCCAATTGGATATTGCCCATTGTAATATTGGATATAGCCCATCCAATATTGGATATTGCCCATGGTTTTAACATGGAACCACTGGGTTTTTCCACAGGTGGCCCAAATTACTACTATGAAAATACCATCAAGCAGATGTTCCTGAATGAGACTGGTCATCAAAATCTACTACAATTTGGGTTCAGATCCAGTTTCAGAACCAAATCAGTCTTGGTCACACCAATAGGTGACCTTCTTTGCATCCATGAAAGAGACAAGAGAATGCCACATTATTACTTCTCCTGGATCTCTCAGCAGATCTGAAAAGGACCATGTTCAGAAAGTAACACTGGGGAATTATTCCCAGTGATGGCCACCAACCTAGATGACTTTAAAAGAGGATTAGACAAATTGGTGGAGGAGAGGACTACCCATGCTACTAGCCATGGTGGCTCTGCTCTGCTCCGCTCCACAGATGGAGGCATTAACGCTTCTGAATACCAGTTGCTGGAAACCACAGAAGAGAGTGTTCTTGTGCTAGAATCCCACCTGAGGGTTTCCCACAGCCATCCGATCCAGCACAGTCTTCTTATGTTGTTATCAGTGCTCAATGAGATCTTCTATCCCAGATCCTTATGATCCAGTAAGCTGAAAGGTTGGTTTGGGAAAGACTCACTTCATCATTATTTGCTTACACTCAGTCGAGAAAAATGTAAAAATTAAAAAAAAATGCATTGCGTGTTGTTTTCTTTATTTCTTTGGTTTTTAAATGGTTCTACCTCTTTGTGCTTTTAAGTCATTTTGAGACATTTTTTGCTGTATAAAGTGACTAAGAAATGCAGCCACCATTATCTTGCTGTGGAGCCTTCAGGAAGTCTTTATAACACTCTTCAGGTGTTCAGAAGAACATGTGAGAGCTCAAATGGAAAGGAAGTGCGAGAATGTGTTTGTCAGTGTTCGAAAAAGAAAAGGTTCTGACCTCCTTTGACTCCTTCGCCTGGTCCTTGGACCCTAGTTGGCACAAAAGAGTCATTGAGAAAGAGTATCTTTGCAGAGTATTGCTGCTTTTATTCTTCAAAATCTTCTTATCCCACCACGACCAACAGCTTTATACATATTAACTCAACCAGCTTTCAACTAACCCAGCCCACGCCACACACAAACAATGACCACTCTATACAGTGGTACCTTGGGTTAAGAACTTAATTCATTCTGGAGGTCCATTCTTAACCTGAAACTGTTCTTAACCTGAAGCACCACTTTAGCTAATGGGGCCTCCCGCTGCCGCCACGCGATTTCTGTTCTCATCCTGAAGCAAAGTTCTTAACCCGAGGTACTATTTCTGGGTTAGCAGAGTCTGTAACCTGAAGTGCCTGTAACCTGAAGCGTCTGTAACCTGTGGTACCACTGTATATACAAGCATACGTAGGTGAAAGGTTGCATGAGTCATGCAGGCTTTGCCGATTCATTGTAGGCTGCTGACTCATGCAGAGTCAGTTCCTTTTGTATTAAAGAAACAGCAGCTAATTTTTAGCAGTTCCAATACCCATCCTCTCTTGCCTTCAAAACTCTATGAGGCAATTCCAACAATGTTCTGCTCAAAGCAGTTAGACTATTCCCTTCAGCCAGGAACCCAAATTCTTCAAGGTTTCCAATGGCAGAGAGGAGTCTAACCAGGGGCAGTCTGGCCCACTTCACCACCTGAGCAAATGGGAACTGTCACCTCCTGTCCCAGCATTGCCACTGACCTTCTCCCCTTGGGTGGGAGTGGCGGGCAGCGGAAGACAAGCAGCAATGTGGCATGCAGGAATGCCCTGGGTCTTGGCATACTCTGCAGGAGCCCAGGCATGCCTTAAAGCATTGCCACTCAGCTTCTCTGCCTGGGGGTAAGGAAGACAAGTGGCAATGTTGGGTGGCAGAAGCAGTGGAGTGGGTGGGGCACAACCTCTTGCACTTCCATCGCCTAAGGCGGGTGCTTCATCCTGCCTCATAGGTGGACCAGCTCTGAATCTAACTGCATGTTATTGAATGTCGCTGCAGTTTCCCATCAGATCTCCACGTTCAATGCATGAAGGATTAGTGGGTGTCCCTGGCATACACTGGAGGCAGGGCAATTGCACCTTCTCCCCCTAGCAAGTTTGAAGACCACCCACCCCCCATGTTCTTCTAAGAGCCTGAAGAATGCTTATGCGCATAGCTGCCAACTTTTCCTTTTTTTAAGGGAAATTCCCTTATTCCGAATAGGATTCCTCGCAAGAAAAGAGGAAAGTTGACAGCTATGCTTATGTGTCAGCTGAAAGTATCTCACCAAGGTATTTTTTAAAAAAAAAAACATTTTTATTAAGTTTCCCATTTTAACAGTCCAATCAAATCACACTGAATGTTCCAAATTATACAAATACATATCAAA